CAGGCAATTCTCCTGCCTCAGCCTCCTGAGTAGCTGGGACTACAGGCACGCGCCACCATGCCCAGCTAATTTTTTGTAGTTTTAGTAGAGACGGGGTTTCACCATGTTACCAGGATGGTCTTGATCTCTTGACCTCGTGATCCACCCGCCTCGGCCTCCCAAAGTGCTGGGATTACAGGCTTGAGCCACCGCGCCCGGCCTGCAGTATTCTTATATAAATTTATTATTCCAAAATCTAGAAAAACATTAAAAAGGTAAAAGCCAGGCATCTTTTTTTGTTTTGAGATGGAGTTTCGCTCTTGTTGCCCAGACTGGAGTGCGGTGGCACAATCTCAGCTCACTGCAAACCTCCGCCTCCCTGGTTCAAGCGAGATCCTGCTTCAGCCTCCTGAATAGCTGGGATTACAGGCACGCACTACCATACCCAGCTAATTTTTGTATTTTTAGTAGAAACAGGGTTTCACCATGTTGGCTAGGTTGGTCTCTAACTCCTGACCTCAGGTGATCTGCTGGCCTCAGCCTCCCAAAGTGCTGGGATTATAGGCGTGAGCAGGACTAAGATTTACAGTGAAGACCAGGATCAATTACTTAACAAGAATACCACATTCTGATGCTCTCTATAGGGTCATTTTTGTGTCAGGAAAATATCGAATCAGATTCTTCCCAGCTTATTTCCCCTACAACTTAATAGCTCTTCACTAACTTCTGTATGTATTTACTGCAATTGCATAGCCCGGCATTTGCACTCTCAAAAGATTTAATGCAATTACAGTCAAATATAATAATATATAATACTTTTTTCCCATGAAAATAAATTGGTGTTTTAAAATTTACAATTCCCATGAATAAAATTTCAGTTACTACAAAATGCTAAGACAGATTGAGATCTCAAAGAAAGAACTTGAGAAAATTATGTTTAAAGGACTTCACAAATATAAAGCATAATTGTTAGAATCCTGGTACAAAGTAACTTTTCCTAGGTGTAAGGTTCAAGTCTGATTTCTTGAATCGTTCAACATCAACAGACCTCATTTGTATTCTTTTTATTTTCATTATTACTTTCAGAGACAGGATCTGACTATGTTGCCCAGGCTGGACTCCTGGGCTTGGATCCTCCCTGCCTCAGCCTCCTGAGTGGCTGGGATTACAGGCATGCACCACCACGCCCGGTGCTACAAATGCTTTTGAAAAACGCCCGGAAACACAGTGAGCTTGCATCGTGTGAGCAGCAGGTGCCGCTCAGCTGGTGCTGGACGGAAGAGGCTTGCGGTATTTGCACTGAATCCAAACCCGGTACATTGTCAGTTGCTTCCCTCGGTTCACCTGCAGGCGTCGGTCCACCAGATTCTGAACCTTTTCCAGCCCAGCAGTGGTGAAAAGTACATCCAGTTCCTCTGTATGGAAAAGAAAAGGTGTTTATAAGTTTTCCCCTCAAGAAAAGGCATTTTTATCTACTAAGTCCCTTGTTAAATGGGGCTCTGGGAAGTTGCTGTCATGTTTTTTATGTGGCCATTTGGTTATAAATGCAGTGGTCGTTTGGTAACAGCAAGTTCATGTTTAGGTAGGGGAAGCCCCCGCGTATGGGCCACGGATTTTTCTTTTTTAAAACCTTTGGTTTATATTTGGCCTTTAGGCTCTATGAATACCTTAAAATCATAGGCAAAAATCTCTATATATGTATGTCAAAGCAATTGTTAGGAAAGAGGTTTCATTTCTTAACCAAAGGCTCAAAGAAGGTGACCCCAAAAAGAGCCCAGGAATGGAGAATTCCTAAGGCCCAGGTGAAGGGTGAAGCCTGTGGCCAGGGCCAGTTGCAGAGGAGAGCAGTTCCCGGCACCCCTAGAACCCAGAGGACATGACTCACCCTGGGACCTAGGTGCACCAAAGCACAACCCCACGCAGAAGGTGAAATGGGCTGGAATGGAGATGAGCCTTGCAGAACGGGCAGGCTTCCCATTTTGGACAGTGGCAGAAAGGGAGAGCAGAGCAGGACTGAAGGAATGGACAAGGCGGGGCTGCCTGGCGCCCCTGAGTGGCTGGCTGCCATGGTTATCCTAGCCCAGGGTGGAGGAGGGGGTGAGCAGTGAGGAACTGCAGGAAACCGCCGGCCTAAAAGGCAGGAGGGGCCAGATAGTCTTCTTTCTGAATGTGCCTTGAAGACCATCTCATCTGGTATTAGGAACTTTTAGCATAAAAAGATGAGTGTTTCATACCTTGTGTGAAGAAGTAAACCCTGGTTCCATCACCTCTCACGTAGAAATTTCCAGATAGACACTGACCTGCAGAGTAGTGTGGTAAAAATCAAACACACTTTGCTGGGTGAAGAGCACTCCTGCCTCAGTGCTTCAGGAAGAGCAGCTCAACGGGAAGAAGCTAACTCCAGTGTCAGAAATCATGAGGTTCCTAAGTGTCCCACTCCAAAACTCTAGAATTGTTTGATGAAAACTTATTCACTCTCCCAACTCCATTAAATTAATAGCACAAACTTTTTATTTATTGATTTTGAGATGGAGTTTTGCTCTTGATGTCCAGGCTGGAGTGCAATGGCGTGACCCTGGCTCACTGCAACCTCCGCCTCCCAGATTCAAGAGATTCTCCTGCCTCAGCCTCCGGAGTACCTGGGATTACACCACGCCTGGCTAATTTTTTGTATTTTTAGGAGAGATGGGGTTTCACCATGTTGGCCAGGCTGGTCTTGAACTCCTGACCTCAGGTGATCCACCTGCCTCGGCCTCCCAAAATGCTGGGATTAAAAGCATGAGTCACCACGCTGGGCCCATTTTTTGTTTTTTTTTTAATTAAGCAATATAGCTGAGTTTAAGGAAACTTGAGACAGCCATTACCATTTTGGTGGTGACTGTCCTTTGCGTGTTTCTTCATGTGTCTACACAATCATAAATACAACAACTCGGATACTCTTTTGATCATGAACATGCTTTCCCTTCTGCTGCTAACCTCCCTGACCTTACCTCAGTTTTTTGGCCTGGTAAATACTTCTAGACCTTCCCGAATGCCCAAATCATCACACATGTGTATACTTATTTCCCTGCAGATACTAGTATTAAGGGATGGAGTTTAAAACACTCTCCCGCACACTGCTCCTCTCACTGAGTAATATGGAATGGAAATCCCTCCAAGCTCAGTAGTATAGGGTCCATCTCAGGTGACAAGCACATCTACCTATACAGGGGCATTCACTTTGTTTGCAAAGTTTTGCTCATACATGTGTTATATACTAGTTTTTGACTGTATCCAAAAAGACTATTGGATTGAGTAACACTTGGGTGCTTAAAAAAAGGCTGTAATGCTGGGTGCAGTGGCTCATGCCTGTAATCCCAGCACTCTGGGAGGCTGAGGTGGGTGGATCACCTGAGGTCAGAAGTTCAAGACCAGCCTGGCCAACGTGGTGAAACCCCGTTTCTACTAAAAATACAAATAATTAGGTGGGTGTGGTGGTGAGTGCCTGTGATCCTAGCTACTCGGGAGGCTGAGGCAGGAGGCAAAGGTTGTAGTGAGCCGAGATCGTGCCATTGCACTCCAGCCTGGGAAACGAGTGAAACTCAAAAAAAAGGCTGTAACAATTTCTATTTCTACCAGTAATGAAGGAATGCACTTCTTTCTTTGAATTGGCCAGCAATAAGAAGTACGAACTCATTATTTTTATTTCCTTGAAGTGTTGTTTATTGGCCATTTAGATATGCTCTTCTGTGAACTGATTAAATATTCCTGTTTTTTGGGTGGGACACTGATCTTTTTCTTATCAATTTCATGACAGCTCCTTGAAGAGCAGCGATACTAAGTCTTTATTATGTGCACTGAAAATATTCCTTCTTACTCTCTCATTTGCCTTTTACATTTTTAATGGTATTTTTTGTGATGCTACATTTAAAATTATTTATGTCTTTCAAATGTCTTTCTTTCATTTTTTTTTTTTTTTTTTGAGGAGTAGTCAGGCCCTGTCATCCAGGCTGGAGTGCAGTAGTGTGTGATCTTGGCTTATTGTAACCTCTGCCTCCCAGGTTCAAGTGATTCTCCTGTCTCAGCCTCCCAAGTACCTGGGACTATGGCGCCTGCCACTATCCTGACTAATTTTTGAATTTTTAATAAAGACGGGGTTTTACCATGTTGACCAGGCTGATCTCAAACTCCTGATCTCAGGTGATCTGTCTGCCCTGGCCTCCCAAAGTGCTGGTATTATAGGTGTGGGCCACCGTGCCTGGCTGTCTTTCAAATGTCTTTTTAAAAAAAGCTCTTCTAAAGGTAGCTGTCTTGCTTAAAAAGACCTCAATATCTACATTATACAAGCATCTGCAGTTTTCTTAAAAAATGTACTATTGTCACATTTTAAATGGCTTTATATATGGAGCTCTAATTCTAAAGTATCTGTTCTGATGGCAGCACCATTTTTTGATTATAGTGGCAAAATACCTTTTTTAAACCGAAGCTGAGCCATGTCATAGCGGCCGTAATCTCGCAGAAGCATCATCCCCCCAGGTTTCAGAAGCTTGCTCAGCCTGTTGATAGCCTTCTGCATCCTGTGGGGCAGCAGGGAATGACGATCAATCAGGTCTCCTTAAGGACAAGCTTTCCTTTCCCTGTAGCATATCCCAAAAAACGCCAGTGAACTTCCTCCCCAACTGACACACCAAATCTAAGATCTAAGCTCCTCTACCCTTGCTTCAGTTAGAAGTGAAGGATACCTTAGCTGCCTGCTCACAGCTGTGGCCTTGATCCATTGCTTTCAGCCTGAAGAGGGCCCAGGACAGCTTGCTTCTGCCATAAGAAAGTTCTCTGCTCCAGGCCAGGTGCAGTAGTTCATGCCTGTAATCCCAGTACTTTGGGAGGCTGAGGCAGGCGGATCACTCGAGGTCAGGAGTTGGAGATCAGCCTGGCCAAAATGGTGAAACCCCGTCTCTACTAAAAATACAAAAATTAGCCAGGCGTGGTAGTGCCTGCCTGTAGTCCCAGCTACTTGGGAGGCTGAGGCTGGAGAATTGCTTGAACCTGGGAGGTGGAGGTTGTAGTGAGCCAAGACCATGCCATTGTATTCCAGCCTGGGCAACAAGAACAAAACTCCGTCTCAAAAACAAAAACAGAAATCCAGCTGGGGTCCTGCTATGTTGCCCAGGCTGGAATGCAATGGCCAGAATCCTGGGCTCAAGTGATCTTCCTGCCTCAGTCTCTTAGGTAGCTGGGACTAAAAGTATGAGCCACTGTGCCTGCCTTGAATTTTAAATTTTAACAGTTTGTTTTAGTCCATGTCAATTTTAATAAAGTTTGTACAGTAGTATTAAAACTTCTGGGCCGGGCGCGGTGGCTCAAGCCTGTAATCCCAGCACTTTGGGAGGCTGAGGCGGGTGGATCACGAGGTCAAGAGATCGAGACCATCCTGCTCAACATGGTGAAACCCCATCTCTACTAAAAATACAAAAAATTAGCTGGGCATGGTGGTGCGTGCCTGTAATCCCAGCTACTCAGGAGGCTGAGGCAGGAGAATTGCCTGAACCCAGGAGGCGGAGGTTGCGGTGAGCCGAAATCGCGCCATTGCACTCCAGCCTGGGTAACATGAGTGAAACTCTGTCTCAAAAAAAATAAATAAATAAAATAAAAAAAAATAAAATAAAACTTCTGAGGTTATAATTCTTGTTTTTTTGAAACAGGGTCTCACCGCCTCCCAGACTACAGTGCAGTAGTGTGATCACAGCTCACTTCACTGCAGCCTCAAACTCCTGGGCTTAAACCATACTCTTGCCTCAGCCTTCTGAGTAGCTGGGACTACAGATACACACCTGGCTAATTTTTGAGTAGAGATGGGGGTCTTGCTTTGTTGCCCAAGCTGGTCTTAAGCTCCTGGCTTCAAGCAATTCTCCCACCTCGGTCTGCCAAAGTGGTGAGATTATAGGTGTGAGCCATTGTGCCTGGTCAACTTCTGCAGTTATTGAAGTTTGAAACCATGGTAGACCTTTTGGGTTATCCTGCATATGCCTTTATTTCACACTCATCCTCTCAGGTTGGATGACTTCAGTGCCCTTCTAGAGAAACTGTGGCCTAGAGAAGGTCAATCACTCAAAGCCCCTACCCTGTGCAGCCAGCAAGGGGTCCTTGGATACTAGCAGATAAACCAGAATCTCAGTCACTGGTCCTTCCAGTCTCTAGTCATGTGATCTGGCTTCCTAACACCAGCTTACCTTGACCTTTTACACTAATTTATTTAATCACCCTTTGAAGGACTCCAATGTCTGTAAAATGAGATGTTTGAAATCTCTAACCCCATGATGTCATGGGTATAGTTTACCCTAATATGTGCCACCCCCCAGCCTGTCTGGACTTACTGCACTCTGGCAGTGATAAGGGCTTCCATGGAATTAGTCAATGGTGTCTGAATCTCTTAGCCACCATCTAACTCTGCTTCCTTGAGAAGGTAGTTTTGGCTAGGCGCAGTGGCTCATACCTGTAATCCCAGCACTTTGGGAGGCCGAGGCGGGTGGATCACTTGAGGTCAGGAGTTCAAGATCAGCCTGGCCAACATGGTGAAACCCTGTCTCTATTCAAAATACAAAAAATATTAGCCAGGTGTGGTGGTGTGTGCTTATAATCCCAGTTGCTCAGGAGGCTAAGGCAGGAGAATTGCTTGAACCCGGGAGGAGGAGGTTGTGGTGAGCCGAGGTCTCGCCACTGTACTCCAGATTGGGTGACAGCGTAAGGCTGTCTCAAAAAAGAAAAGAGAAGGTAGTTTCATAGGACCACTGGTTGCTTGATACATGTCAGTTTTTTTTTTTT